TTTTCTGGAAGATGTAGTCGGACCAAAGGTTCGGTGAACTTTCAGATTATAAAAAAAAAAATATATATATATATATTAATGGATAAAGGCATGTCTTGACGGTTTAGTAAAAAGATATTATTATTTTGTTTATATACGTGGTGCAATTATGGCGCATTGACTGCAGCTCGTGGTATTATATTAAACGATAGAAAGCGCAACAGTTTATATAAAATGGGCCTGAAAGTTAGGCCCATAAGATAGCTTCTTTTATTTTGACCCATTATAAAATGGGCCATATTAAATGGGTCTACAAGCCCATGATGAAAAGGTATGTGTGTATCAGATCCATCTGTGTACGAGAATTTGAATTTAATACATGTTAATGTCATATATTTGTTACAAAAAAAATTGGTAGCTTGCCATCTTATTATGACAAGTAAATTTTTTTTTATATGTACGATATATATCACCATTAAAATTACAGTAAAAATAAAAGAATTAATGATATATATAGATAATATTCGTATAGAATTGTATTGGGTGCTAATATATCACCATATTAACATTTTGCTCTTTCACTTACCTTTTTTTGATTTTCAATATTATATATATATATTATATTTACAACAAAACACAAAGAAAAAGATAATGAAAATTGTAGGAAGAAATCCAAACAATATTATTAATTTTCCGTTAAAACGGTAATAAATCCATGAACCACCCATTGCATTGAATTGCGCGGGAAGCTTTTCTTTTTATATTAAATAACAGCATGAAAAAATCGGAAATCAGTAAAAATCGACTAATTAAATTGAATATTATCTTTTTTCGTATGTAGGGGCATTTGTGTCTTTCACCAAAACACGAAGGGGTTACTTTTTACGCGGCTGCGCATGGACAGAGAAGCAAGACGTTGAGACTTGAGAGGATTTTTGCCGTCGAGACGGAAAGGTGAAGAGCTCCAAACCCTAATTTTCCTTCTGGGTCGTTTTTTTCTCCGTTTCTCTCATCTCGCATCGTAGATCGGGGGAATTCTTGTTCCGTCTCGGTTTCCGGCGAAGAAACCCTAGTTTCGTTCGAGAGGTTTCCATCTGGAAATTAGGGTTCGGTTTTCGTTTACTGTAGCCGAAATCAATTTGATGCTGATTTGAGGGAGGGTTTCTGTTCGTACTGAACCGGAGAGAAGAGAAGGTATCATCAATCGAGTGGGAAAAGACAGGGCCTTCTGTTGGGGTTTCCCAGATACGTGTATGGCTTCGAGGCCTGTTAACGGGGAAGGAAATGATGTCGCGAAAGAGACGCAAAGCTTTAAAGTTTACACGAGGAAAGACAGACGGCAGAGAAAGCGGACGCCGAGCGTTGTCGTCGCCGACGACCGCGATAAGCCGGAGGCGAAAGTTGAAGATGGGGATGATAGTAATCGACTGAACCCTCCTGTAACACTAGCTGATAATTCTGTGGATTCTATCGTTGTGGGCAAGAATTCTGTTGAAGCTGTTTCTCCGGGGACCGTTTCGCAGGAGGATGCAAAGGCCTCAATTGAAGAGCCCTCTGAGAACCCATGCATAAACGATTCAGATAAAGTTGTTGAAGCGCCTCCTCAAGCCGACGTTCAAGATGTTCCGACTTTGGCCTCTGTGGACAAGACAGGTACACATCCATGCCCATGGCCGTTACCTGAAGATGACGCAAAGGCTGTTGTTGTTGAGAAGTCTGTCGAAGTACCCTTTGAAAGCCAGGCTCAAAAAGATGCCAATACCGTGGTTATCGATAAGAGCTCTATTGAAACATCTCTTAAAACCCTAGCCCTAGAAGATGTCGGTATTGTAGTTGTTGACAAGAACACTATTGAAGCTTCTCCTCAAACCCTATCTCATGGAGGTGCCCATGCTGTTGTTGACAAGAATCCCATTGAAGTGCCTTCTGAAGAACATGTTAATGTTGCTGATGTAGACAACTCTGCAGTTGAAGTACCTTTAGAAAGCCTCGCCCAGCTGGATACAAGTGATGCTCTGCAACATGCATTAGTTCCCTTTGAATCTGTTCCTGTCCGTGAACCTTTGCAGGTCATGGCACCAAGCACCCGTTCTGTTGTAACTGGAAGCGCACCAATGGAGGAGGCCTCAGATGACCGTGTTAAGATACATTTGGCCTCTAGCTCAAGGGAGCAGAAGGAGGAGATTAGGAAGAAGCTTGAGGATCAGCTTAACTTGGTCAGAGGGTTGGTAAGGAGGATAGAGGCTAAAGAGAGCGAGATTGGTGCATATAATTATTCACGGGTTTTGGCAAATTCCGGGCTCAATAATGGAGGGGGTAGGATACTTACTGGATTTGTTTCAGCCGGAACTCCTCGCGAGGTTGTCAGAGCATCAAGGCCTTTACACCAACTGAGTATATCAGTTTTGGAGAACAGTCAGGGCATGATTGAGCGTGTTGAGAAAGAGAAAAGAACACCCAAGGCAAATCAATTCTACAAAAATTCGGAGTTCTTGCTTGCAAATGAGAAGTTCCCCCCTACCGAGAGTAACAAGAAATCAAAATCAAGCGCAAATAAGCTTGGAGGAGAGGTTGGGCACGGGTTTAAACCAGGTTCTAAAGTTTTCAAGGCTTGCAGTGCTCTACTTGAAAGACTGATGAAGCACAAGTATGGTTGGGTGTTTAATGCCCCTGTTGATGTGAAGGGTCTTGGTTTGCATGATTACTTCACCATTATTAAATATCCGATGGATTTGGGAACTGTCAAGTCCAGGTTAACAAAGAATTGGTACAAGTCACCCGGAGAATTTGCGGAGGATGTGAGACTTACTTTTCAAAATGCTATGACCTACAACCCGAAAGGGCAAGATGTCCATGCCATGGCAGAACAATTATCAATGATATTTGAGGACAAATGGGCTGTGATAGAGGCAGAGTATTACAAGGTGAATCTTGCAACCCCTACATCAAGATTGGCTCCTGCAATGCCACCACCCCCTATTAATGTGAAGAATTTGATGGATAGATCGGATTGGAGTAGTCGCCCTGTTGAGATGCAGCCAAAACCAGCCAGTACGACGCCTTCTGGCAGGACACCTGCTCTGAAAAAGCCCAAGGCTAATGAGCCGAATAAGAGAGATATGACATTTGAGGAGAAGCAGAAGCTTAGTGCTAACTTGCAGAATTTGCCCACAGATAAACTTGATGCGATTGTGCAAATTGTTAAGAAAAGGAATACTGCGGTGAAGTTACGGGATGAGGAAATTGAAGTTGATATTGACAGTGTTGATCCGGAGACTCTTTGGGAGTTGGACAGGTTTGTTACCAACTACAAAAAGAGCCTAAGCAAAAAAAAGAGAAAGGCTGAGCTCGCTATTCAAGCCAGGGCAGAGGCTGAGAGGAACGCCCAGCAGATGGTAAGAGGCGATGTCTTGTGAATCTTACCATGCTCTTGTACTTAGGTCTTTGGATTTATCTTTATTTTTCCTTCGTCGCAGAATGCAGCACCGGTGGCAGTGGGGCTTGCCAGGGAGGGTGGGACAGGTAATTCTCAGCAGCTTCACTAAAATGTCTGGTTGTTATTGAATTGTATGGGAATCATCTCTTTCTCGAAAAAGAGAAAGGCTGAGCTCGCTGTTCAAGCCAGAGCAGAGGCTGAGAGGAATGCCCAGCAGATGGTAAGAGGAGATGTCTTGTGAATCTTACCATGCTCTCGTACTTAAGTCTTTGGATTTATCTTTATTTTTCCTTTGTTGCAGAATGCAGCACCGGTGGCAGTGGGGCTTGCCAGGGAGGGTGGGACAGGTAATTCTCAGGAGCTTGCTGGAGTAAAATGTCTGGTTGTTATTGAATTGTATGGGAATCATCTCTTTCTCTTATGAACTAAACCAAACCGCCTTGTTTGCCGCACTTTTTATACTAGCAGCTCAAAAGAGTATCCCTACACCATTGCTTTCTCGAGCAGAGAAGCCAAGTAATGAGGAGAGCAGATCTAGTAGTTCAAGCAGCTCAACTAGTGATTCCAGCTCTTCTTCTAGTGGTATTATATACCTCCCTTCTCTTCTTCCTGGTCGTCTCATCTCAACATTTGCTTGCTTTGTTGCTTATGCTAATTTTCATACGGAATCTCTACGTCTATTGCAGACTCGGATAGCGATAGCTCTTCATCATCTGGATCAGATCAGACATAGACATATTGTACAAGGGAGTCCACAGGTATGCACGTTTCAAATATGTGTATTATGTTTGATATTGTCTGGAGATATTTTCACAAGTATCGTGTCCATGGCTTGTAGAGTGTAGGGAGTAGTAGCAGGAGATAATTGCGAACTCCTCTTTGTTTGTTCAGATGCTTCAGCATATTCTGCATTTAGATGCTTGTCTGGACGTAATCCTGCGAGTTGTCTGATCAGCTAGACATTCTTCTGTCTCTCTGTGTTTGTTGGAGAGAGAGAGAGCGGGCATGCATATTTATCTTATTCCTCTAAGGTTGACATTTGCGGCCTGCATGTGTTGTGATATTGCCTGCAAAACTTGTCGAATGCGCGTTTTTCAAAAATACATTCTTTTGTACAAAATGATTATGGTTTTTCTGATGTGTAATTTGTTTTTAAATTTGCAGGAGAAAAACGTAGGGTAGAGGATGATCTTAGGGGGTTGGGTTTAAAGGTGATTGAAAATGTTTCCAAGGGATGGTAGGTATGTGTACAGAACAAAGTAAAGATTGGAGAGCGTCCTCTGACGTTTTGGAAGATTGGAGTTTTCAGTCTTTATGTGTAAAATGTTTGGTTAGGAGTTTGTGTGGTCCAACTATCATCATTTTGTACATCCCATCCTAAACAGACTCTTAGGGCTTAGCTTTCTCCTCTCTTTTGGGCCTTTTTTTTAGGGTTTTTGATCAGCTGATTCAGGATTCTTTTGCAACTAAAATGATGATACGATGGAACTCGTTTTCTACTGCTCTCTCTCTATAGTCCATACTCTTATTTTCTTCTTCATCTTTTTCTTGTTTGCCCAAATCCTTAACTTGGATTATTTTCCAGTGGAAAATTGAATGAACTGGAGCATGCAAATGGAGATAAAGAGAATTTATCATCATTTTGTTCCCAACCTGAAACCATGTGATGAAGCCCTTTGTGATCAATTTGGTTTCAAAATTCAATAGATTATGGTTCTGCGAGAAGGAAGGAATATATTTGATAATAACCAAACAAGTAGAGGAAGACAGAGAGAGTGAGGCTGATGCCGATGTTCCACCCATCGACTCGATGGACTCTCTCCATCTCTCCTCGCTCTTTCACCACCGCCATTACTGCCCTCTCCTCCTCCTCCTCCTCCTCTTCGTCACCATCATCATCATCGAGCCATCACGAGCCATGGTGTGGTCTCCATGATTGGAGAAATAGCCCTCTCAATGAGCTCCGCTCCTGGGGTCCCACCGGTCCCCTCCTCCCCTCCACCTCTCCTTCCTTGGACTTCTCCCTCGCCGTCTCCCACGCTTCTTCACTCGCCGATCTCGGCGCCCTCGTTCTCTCCACCGCCGACCCTCTCGCCAAATCCCATCTCTCCCATTTGGCTTTCTCCCGTTGGCGCCTCGGTAATCTCCCTATCGGCTCCCTCTCTCTCCTCCCTTCTTCTCCCGCTCGCCCTCCCAAACCCCTCCTGGTTCGTTATCTGGGTCTCTGCCTTTTGTCTCGCATTTTACTGTTTGTTCGTAAAGATTGCGACTTTTCTGATTTTCCATTGTTGGGTCCGTTTATTGCTTACTGGGTTCTCCCCCATTTTTTTTATTAACTACAACATGTAGGTCTCGACCAAGGAAGTCCCGGCTCCAAAGGACTCAGGCCTTCCTTTCAATGCTCATATGCTTCATAACCTCGCTCATGTGGAGCTCAACGCCATTGATTTGGCTTGGGACACTGTGGCTCGCTTCTCTCCCTTCTGTCACATCCTCGGTGAAGGCTTTTTCGATGACTTTGCCCATGTTGCTGATGACGAGAGTCGCCATTTCTTGTGGTGTTCGCAGAGACTTGCCGAGCTTGGTTTCAAGTCAGTGAAAAAGGGCTCGTTCTTTATGAGCTTTCGTTTTTTGGTTAACATGTTTATAGATCACCGTAATCTTTTTGTGTTTTTGCTTTCTTCAAGGTATGGAGATATGCCAGCTAATAATCTGCTAATGCGGGAATGCGAGAAATCATCGGATAATGTGGCAGGGCGCTTGGCTGTTATCCCCCTTGTACAGGTACCCACCCCCCCTTATTCCAATTTGGATGTATAGAAGAAATGCTGTTCCCCCCATGGATTGTCATTTTTTCTGATTTCAATCTTTTAAATCCTTAACATATTCCAAAGCTTTGGATTTGTTTTTGTACATTGGCATGGAAGTTCACGTGAATGTTTTGAATGTCAACTAGAGGGACAATATGAGTGGAGAAATGCTTTGCTTTGCCTATCTGCATTTCTATGGATCTCTTACCATTCTTTGTGCTCACCGATTACTGACTTAGCTTTTAGCATTACATGGGGGGATGAAGTCTTTTAACCATTGCTGTTTAGCTGAACAGGAAGCGAGAGGGCTTGACGCCGGACCTCGCTTGGTAAAAAGGCTGATGGGATTTGGAGATCATAGGACTTCCAAAATCGTGGCTAAGATTGCTGACGAAGAAGTTGCTCATGTCGCTGTCGGTTTACACTGGTTTCTCTCCGTTTGCCAAAAGATGGACCGTCCTCCTTGCTCGACATTTAAAGGCATAGACTTTCTTTACGTCACTCCACACACTCGTATACCCCTGTAGTTATCGTAATCATCTTCCACTTGGTGTCTTTGCAGATCTGATTAAGGAGTATGGCGTTGAGTTGAAGGGCCCTTTTAATCACTCTGCTCGGGATAAAGCTGGCATCCCACGAAACTGGTAAAGAGAATCGTCCCTTCAAACTTGAACTGAGCTCGAAAGGCTAGTCTTTGGTGATCGGTTCATCTGAACTCCTTCATCACCAATATGAACACACTGAGGTGCATTTCATGATCTGGGCACTCTATTTTTTCTGGTGTTTAGGTATGATTCATCATATGAAGCTAGAGAGGACAAAAAAAGCAAAGATGAAGGCCAGAGAGAGCAACTTTCTGAGGTAAACTTAACTTTCAAAAGAGATTTGTAAGACATAACACCATTGATTTGATTGGTGTGGCTTTTTTTGTTGTTGTTGTTGTTGTTGTTGTGTGGAAACAGGTTTATGATAGGCTGACTCATATTATCTCCATGGAGAGTGAGAATTCTACGCTTCAAAAGCTTCCCAAGTGATTCACCTCACTCTGTCATCAGCCTCTCCCATTCTGTCTTCTCTTACATGAAGCTTGTAGTGTGTTTGTGTATATACATATATCATGAAAAATGTAGAATTTGATGTGATTTTTTGTTGGTTACAGGTAAAGTGATGAAACTCATGATCCAACCAGCTTGAAACATCATCAGATATGATACATCCACATGTGTCTATGATGGTTCTCCCTTTCCAACATGTATAAAAGCCCAAATTCAATGAACTCTTAACTCATTATTGTGGGAACCCTTTAACGGGTCCTTAGATTATTTGTTATTTACAAAGTCCAACTTATGTGACGCCTCCCGAAGCTTTCACACAAGTTCCCAGTCGGATTCACCATCATGATGAACCAATGATCGGTTATCTTCCGTACCGAATCCCAATTTTGTCCGGTTATTGCCGCATTCTGGACCGGTTTCAGCATCTTTGGTGCACCATTGACACACAAGTCGCTTGTATTCCTGTTCTCTGGATGACCTCATTCTTGAGTATACAGCTTCTCTGATCTTCTGAAAAAAAAAACGGTTCATACGAGAGGAAAACGTATGATTTTCTGTGAGATGGTGAGGCAAGAACGAGAGAAAGGAAAGAAAGAGAAGCAAAACCTTGTAGGATTTGGTTTTGCCATGTTTCTTGCCGCGAGGAGCAAGGCAATGAACTTCGTTTCTGTCTACGAGGATACAGCTTTCTTCAACAAGTCTTTGGCTATGGAGTTGGATGAGCTCCGTGTTCTGCTCTGAAACACGGCCTATGCCCATTGAACCTTCATCTGTTTCCTTTGTGCAATCTGATGAGCAAAACCATAACCAAAGTTAACAGAAGTTACTGATATGATCTCTGAGGTTTTTCTTTCTCCTTCCTCTGAATATCACTCTCAATGCTACACCATCCTGGAGAAAACCCTTTCATACCTCATGGATCCATTCCATATACAGTTAAATAATCGATGCCAAAGCAAAAAACCAATTTGAGAAAGAGATTAAAAAAGGACAAGTAAGGAGAAGTTACCATCTGAGCCTGTAGGTGCACTTGCAGCAACAGCTTGTTCGGTTTCAGAATTTTGACTTCTGATGGAATCAACTACGGTAAGGCTGTGTTCGTTTCTGGAGATGAATCTTTCAACTTCAGCTGGAGAATCATTTGTGCTTACTGTTTCCGCGTCAATATCCTTTTCACCTGGCATCTTAACCGTCGATAAACTTGAATCTTTTTCAACCACATAAGGCCTCTTGACCCCGGGAAGCTTCTCTTTTCGAAAGATTTGTTTGGCACCGAGCTTTGTCCTTCTGTACAGACCGCTGCCATTATTAAACCGCCATGGAGAAGTACAGACATTGTAATCATCTGCGTGATGACCACGGAGTTTCATTGCTGATCCATCCCTCTTCTCCTGATCACGGATAACCCATGTTTCGTCTTTGGTTAAGTGTTCTCTCTGAATACCTGTGGCCTGTTCTTCATCTGTGCTTTCTTTTTTCTTTGTGAAGGAACAAACCGGGGCATATTCATGTAACATAGAAGGGGGTAGAGGTTTTCCAGAATCTAGAGAGGATTCGAGAAGCAACTCTTGAACCACATCCGAGTAGAATTTCTTGACGGTGGCTCCAACCGTTTGAACTTGATTCTCAACGTACTTTACTGTATCCTAAGACATAATAAAGAACAAGAAGAAGAAAATCAAGAGATAATAAACTACGGCATCGTTATTGACGACTATATGTGCCGACCAACAGTAATATTACCTGGACAATAATTTCTTCAACCTCCAAGCACATGGCTTCAAACTTCTGGTACACATTCCCAACCCAGGTTATTCCTCTGATATCCATATTTTCTATAGACCAAGAACGCTCGTATTGACAAGGAGAAGCTTCAACACAATGTAGCTGCTCTTGTTCCCAACATAACGAGACAGGATGGCACTCTGCAAGAATTGAGAACAACAATTCCGATTTTTCACATTTCAACCGACTAAAAAGAAAAAAAGAAAAGAAAACATCAAGCTTAAACCTTGAAAGAAAGGAAGAGTATATTCTACATTGTTCCGACGTAGGATTATAACATAGATGCATAAGTTGTATAGAAACTATGTCAACGTATATACATACACACAAATGTATTTTCAGGATAGTGAATCAGCCAGAGAAAGATAAGCCAGATAATCGAATAAAAAGACAATTGCTTGCCCGACATGCCAAAAGGGCATATCCAAGAGAACATGGCTAATGAGACTTCTAAGTAAAGCCTCAGAAGCTGGCTTGCACAGGTGGTTCCATATCAGCTTATACATACAAGATACAGGGAAAAGTCAATAAACGACAAGCATCTTCTCTCCTACAAAGACATGATCACAAGTTCCTTAAGACATAGACATCCTTGTCCCCCTAGGATCACGTAGCTGCCACAGCAAGCTATTTCTCTGTACCACATGTTTCCAGGATCTTTTAACTAAAAAAACACAGATTCAAAACACTCAATCCAAGGTTTACAATGGAATTATCAACGATCAGGAAATCCCTCATAGCCAACAGAATCTGAATAACAATTCTTCTCCGGGGCAACGCCATAAAAGAAAAAAGGAAAATTCTGACACCAACTTCCAGAAAAACCCAAAAGAAAAGAAAAAAGACGATAACCCTTCACACGAACAGGCAAATTCTCTTCGAAATCATCTGACTCTTACGCACCTAGAAATAAAAAGATGATTTCCAACTGGCTCGGAGGAATTATGTGAAACAATCCATCAAATTACACATTAAAGGGAACATAATTTGAGGATTTCGGGACCCAAACTCGAGTCAAATTGGAATTCAAGAAGGGAAAAACACGTGATCAAGAAAACCCTAAACCCGAAAAACCCCTTCTGCAATCAAAACTCAAGAGTAGTATATTTTTAGAATAAAAGACAGAACAAAAAGGAAAGAGACGCATGATCATTAACCTTAAGCAACGTCCAAGGATCGACCAAAACCAAAGCTGTGTCTTTTATTGTACTCTCGATTACGATCTTAGGGTTGTCGTGGAAGATTTGGAGCTGTAAGAAGATAGCGTGCTGAAGCTATAACAAGAAACCCAAAAAACTGAAAGCTGCTCTCTTTATAAATTTAAGTAATTACCCTTAAAAAAACTCTTAATTTTTGTTTACCGGAAAAAAGAACCAAATCGGATCCGGGTATTACCCGCCCGACTAAATTATAAAGCCCATATGAAGCCCAGGAAGCGTTGACTTTTTTCTATTGACCTATCGGAAATAATTAAATGGGCCCTGTTAAATGGGTTCTACAAGCCCATAATATGGGGGATGGAAAATATATAATTGGGTCTAAGCCCATGATGAAAAGGTTATGGAACATTTGTGTGTGAGACAATTTTAATTTACACGTGTAAATATCATATATTTGTTATAAAAAATTGGTAGGTTGCCATCTTATAATTATGACAAGTGATTTTTTTTCATGTACGATATATATATCACCATTAAAATTACACTAAAAATGTATATATTTACTTATAGAATTGTGTTCGGTGCTAATATAAATATATCACCACATTAACATTTTCCGTTTTCACTTACATTTTCAGATTTACCAAACAACTTTTTTCTATATATTGCATATTATATTTTTACAATAAAAATCCAAAGGAAGAGATGATGAAAATTGTAGGAAGAAATCCAAACAATATCAGATATAAATTTAATTTTAATCCGTCAATACAGTAATAAATCCATCCATATCAATGAGTAGCGCAGCACGTGCACAAATCGGACTGGTTACTATATCAGTAAAAGTAATTTAATTAAATTGACTAATGCTTAAAAGTACTAATTAAATTAAATTTTACCCCACTAATTAAATTGAATGTTATCATTTTCAGATGTCAGTAGAAAATAGAACGCGGCTGCATAAGCATATTCCCTTATCGACAGAGAAGGAAGGGAGAAGATTTTGCCGTCGAGACGGAAAGGTGAAGAGCTCCGATCCGAACCCTAATTTTCCTTCTGGGTCGTGGATTTTTTCTCCGGTTCTCTTATCTCGCATCGTAGATCGGAGTAATTATTGTTACGTCGCGGTTTCCGGAGAAGAAACCCTAGTTTCATTCGAGAGGTTTCCATCTGGAAATTAGGGTTTGGTTTTCGTTTACTGTAGCCGAAATCAATTTCATGCTGTTTTGACGGAGGGTTTCTGTTCGTTCTGGAGCGGAGAGAAGAGAAGCGAGCATCAATCGAGCGGGAAAAAGACAGGGCTTTCAGTTGGGGTTTTCGGGATACATGTATGGCTTCGAGGCCTGTTAACGGCGAAGGAAATGATGTTGCTAAGGAGACGCAAAGCTTTAAAGTTTACACGAGGAAAGACAGACGGCAGAGAAAGCGGACGCCGAGCGTTGTCGTCGCTGACGACCGTGATAAGCCGGAGGCGAAGGTGGAAGATGGGGATGGTAGTAATCGACTGAACCCTCCTGTAGCACTAGCTGAGAATTCTGTGGATTCTATCGTTGTGGGAAAGAATTCTGTTGAAGCTGTTGCTCCGGGGACCGTTTCGCAGGAGGACGCAAAGGCCTCAATTGAAGAGCCCTCTGAGAACCCATGCATAAATGATTCAGATAAAGCTGTTGAAGCGCTTCCTCGAGCCGAAGTTCTAGATGTTCCGCCTATGTCCTCTATGGACAAGACTAAGATACATCCATGCCCATACCCGTTACCTGAAGATGACGCAAAGGCTGTTGTCGTTGAGAAGTTTGTCGAAGTACCCTTTGAAAGCCAGGCTCAAGAAGATGTCAATACCGTGGTTATCGATAAGAGCTCTATTGAAACATCTCCTAAAGCCCTAGCCCTAGAAGATGTCGGTATTGTGGTTGTTGACAAGAACACTATTGAAGCTTCTCCTCAAACCCTATCTCAGGGAGGTGCCCATGCTGTTGTTGACAAGAATCCCATTGAAGTGCCTTCTGAAGAACATGTTAATGTTGCAGCTGTAGACAACTCTGCAGTTGAAGTACCTTTAGAAAGCCTCACCCAGCGGGATACAAGTGATGCTCTGCAACATGCATTAGTTCCCTTTGAATCTGTGCCAGTCCCTGAACCTTTGCAGGTCATGGCACCAAGCACCCGTTCTGTTGTAACTGGAAGTGCACCAATGGAGGAGGCCTCGGATGACCGTGTTAGGATACATTTGGCCTCTAGCTCAAGGGAACAGAAGGAGGAGATTAGGAAGAAGCTTGAGGATCAGCTTAACTTGGTCAGAGGGTTGGTAAGGAGGGTAGAGGCTAAAGAGGGCGAGATTGGTGCGTATAATTATTCACGGGTTTTGGCAAATGCTGGGGTCAATAATGGAGGGGGTAGGATACTTACTGGATTTGTTTCAGCAGGTCGACAGTTCGAGGTTGTCAGAGCATCAAGGCCTTTACACCAACTCAGTATATCAGTTTTGGAGAACAGTCAGGGCATGATTGAGCATGTGGAGAAAGAGAAAAGAACACCCAAGGCAAATCAGTTCTACAAAAATTCGGAGTTCTTGCTTGCAAATGAGAAGTTTCCCCCTACCGAGAGTAACAAGAAATCAAAATCAAGCGCACATAAGCTCAGCGGAGAGCTTGGTCACGGGTTTAGACCAGGTTCTAAAGTTTTCAAGGCTTGCAGTGCTCTACTTGAAAGACTGATGAAGCACAAGTATGGTTGGGTGTTTAATGCCCCTGTTGATGTGAATGGTCTTGGTTTGCATGATTACTTCACCATTATTAAATATCCGATGGATTTGGGAACTGTCAAGTCCAGGTTAACAAAGAATTGGTACAAGTCACCCGGAGAATTTGCGGAGGATGTGAGACTTACTTTTCAAAATGCTATGACCTACAACCCGAAAGGGCAAGATGTCCATGCCATGGCAGAACAATTATCAATGATATTTGAGGACAAATGGGCTGTGATAGAGGCAGAGTATTACAAGGTGAATCTTGCAACCCCTACATCAAGATTGGCTCCTGCAATGCCACCACCCCCTATTAATGTGAAGAATTTGATGGATAGATCGGATTGGAGTAGTCGCCCTGTTGAGATGCAGCCAAAACCAGCCAGTACGACGCCTTCTGGCAGGACACCTGCTCTGAAAAAGCCCAAGGCTAATGAGCCGAATAAGAGAGATATGACATTTGAGGAGAAGCAGAAGCTTAGTGCTAACTTGCAGAATTTGCCCACAGATAAACTTGATGCGATTGTGCAAATTGTTAAGAAGAGGAATACTGCGGTGAAGTTACGGGATGAGGAAATCGAAGTTGATATTGACAGTGTTGATCCGGAGACTCTTTGGGAGTTGGACAGGTTTGTTACCAACTACAAAAAGAGCCTAAGCAAAAAAAAGAGAAAGGCTGAGCTCGCTATTCAAGCCAGGGCAGAGGCTGAGAGGAACGCCCAGCAGATGGTAAGAGGCGATGTCTTGTGAATCTTACCATGCTCTTGTACTTAGGTCTTTGGATTTATCTTTATTTTTCCTTCGTCGCAGAATGCAGCACCGGTGGCAGTGGGGCTTGCCAGGGAGGGTGGGACAGGTAATTCTCAGCAGCTTCACTAAAATGTCTGGTTGTTATTGAATTGTATGGGAATCATCTCTTTCTCTTATGAACTAAACTAAACCGCTTTGTTTGCTGCACTTTTTATACTAGCAGCTCAAAAGAGTATCCCAACACCATTGCTTTCTCGAGCAGAGAAGCCAAGTAATGAGGAGAGCAGATCTAGTAGTTCAAGCAGCTCAACTAGTGATTCCAGCTCCTCTTCTAGTGGTATTATATACCTCCCTTCTCTTCTTCCTGGTCGTCTCATCTCAACATTTGCTTGCTTTGTTGCTGATGTGAATTTTTATATGGAATCTCTACGTCTATTGCAGACTCGGATAGCGATAGCTCTTCATCATCTGGATCAGATCAGACATAGACATATTGTACAAGGGAGTCCACAAGTATGTTTGTTTCAAATATGTGTATTATGTTTGATATTGTCTGGACATATTTTCACAAGTATCATGTCTACTGTTTGTAGAGTGTAGGGAGTAGTAGCAGGAGATAATTGCGAACTCCTCTTTGTTTTTGTTTTTTTTTTGTGTTTACAGATGCTTCAGCATATCCTGCATTTAGATGCTTGTCTGGACATAATCCTGCGAGTTTTCTGATCAGCTAGACATTCTTCTGCCTCTCTGTGTTTGTTGGAGAGAGAGGGCATGCATATTTATCCTATTCCTCTAAGGTTGATATTTGCCGGCTGCATGTGTTGTGATATTACGTGCAGAACTTGTCTAATGCTCGTTTTTCCAAAATACATTCTTTTGATTCTGAAGTGCAGCATTGTGGTTTTTCTGATATGTATTCGTTTTTAAATTTGCAGGAGAAAAAAGTAGGGTAGAGGATGACCTTAGGGGGATGGGTTTAAAGGTGATGATGATATGTGTACAGAACAAAGTAAAGATTGGAGAGCGTCCTCTGACGTTTTGGAAGATTGGAGTTTTCAGTCTTTGTGTAAAATGTTCGGTTAGGAGTTTGTGTGGTGTCTCTTGGTCCAACTATCATCATTTTGTACATCCCATCCTAAACTCTTACTCTTAGGGCTTAGCACTCCTCTCTCTTTTGGGTTTTTTTTAGGGTTTTTGATCAGCTGATTCAGGATTCTTTTGCAACTGAAATGATGATACGATGGAACTCGTCTTCTACTGCTCTCTCTGTATAATCCATACCCTTGTTCATATTTTATTGTGGTCAAAATCTATGAACTGCAAGCATGCAAATGTAGATAGAGGAAAGAAAGAGAGAGAGAAAATCGTATGAAGTGCGGCACCCATCGACAGGATGGACTCTCTCGGTTTCCGGCTCTTTCACCACCACCGCCATAACTGCCCTCTCCTCGTCATCGTCATCATCGAACAAACTGCCCTCTCCTCGTCATCGTCATCATCGAACAATCAATGATGCATGGGTGAATCCTGAATCTGCTGCAATCATCAGAAAAGATTATCTTGAATAGGAACTAAGGAACTAATGAAATGCTCAGGAAAGTCATCAAAGGACCGAGTTTCTCAGACTGTAACCTTCTCACGGTTCTTCTGCCAGTCCTATATTTCTGCATTTAAAAAAAAAAGTAAAATCTAATGTCTTAATATCAGAAGAATCTTTGCCACAATGGAGAAGAGAACCCAGTACCCAGAACGAAGAGCAATAACAACCTGCAGATGGATTTTCACGTGATGATATAGTCAAGCCTTGTACTTTCATAAGCTTAAAGGCAGAGATCATCGTCATCCATTTCGCACAAAGCCCGAGATTTAAACGACAGAGAGAGAGAGACTCACTTCCACCGCCACTAAGCTGGTTGACAGCCTCAACAACAGGTCGCAGTTCCACAGATGGAGAAGGGTTCTTCTGGACAACCTGGGATGAAACTCATGATCCAACCAGCTTCAAATATCATCAGTTATGATACACCCACATGTTATGTGATGGGATTTTTTTTTCTCCAACTCGCATAAAAAGCCCAAATTCAATGATCTCTAACTCATTGTTGTGTGAACCCTTTAACGGGTCCTTACCATATCCATGCTCCATTTAGATTACGTGTTATTTACAAAGTCCAACTTATGTCACGCGCAAGGCTTTCACACAAGTTCCCAATCGGATTCCCTATCATGGTGAACCAATGACCAGTTATCTACCGTACCGAATCCCAATTTTGTCCGGATATCGCTGCATTCTGCACCGGTTTCGGCATCTTTGGCGTGCCACTGATTCACAAGTTGCTCGTATTCTTGTTCTCTGGATGACCTCATTCTTGAATATACAGCGTCTCTGATCTTCTGAAGAAAAAACCGGTTCATAACCAAAGTACTTCAGCGAGATGGTGAGCCATTCAAGAATGCGAGAAAGGAAAGAAAGAGAGCAAACCTTGTAGGATTTGGTTTTGCCATGTTTCTTGCCGTGAGGAGCAAGGCAACGTATTTCGTTTCTGTCCACAAGGATACAGCTTTCTTCAACAGGTCTTTGGCTATGTAATTGAATGAGTTCTGTGTTCCGCTCTGAAACACGGCCTATGTCCAATGAACCTTCATTTGTTTCCATTGTGCAATCTGATAGAAGCAACCATAACCAAAGTTAACAGAAGTTACTGATATGATCTCTGAGGTTTTTCCTTCTTCTTCCTTTGTATACCATTCCATGTACAGTTAAATACTTGATACGGAAGCAGCAACCAATATGAGAAAAGAGAAAAAAAAAAAGGGGCAAGTATGGAGAAGTTACCATCTGAGCCTGTAGGTAAGCTGGAAGCAACAGCTTGTTCAGTTTCAGAATTCTGACTTCTGATGGAATTGACTACGGTAAAACTGTGTTCGTTTCCGTCTCCATCATCTTTATTATGACTTGGCTCTCTCGAGATGAATCTTTCAACTTCAGCTGGAGAATCATTTGATCTTACTGTTTCCACGTCAAGATCCTTTTCACGTGGCACCTTAACCGTTGATAAACTTGAATCTTTTTCAACTACGTAAGGCCTCTTGACCTCTGGAAACTTCTCTTTTTGAAAGATTTGTTTGGCACCGAGCTTTGTTCTTCTGTACAGACCGCTGCCATTATTAAACCGCCATGGAGAAGTACAGACACTGTAATCATCTGCGTGACGACCACGGAGTTTCATTGCTGACCCATTCCTCTTCGCCTGATCACGGATAACCCATGTGTCGTCCTTGGTTAACTGTTCTTTCTGAATATCCGTGGCCTCTTCTCCATCTGTGCTCTCTTTTCTCTTTGTGAAGGAACAAACTGGAGCATATTCATGTAACATAGAAGGGGGCGGAGATTTTCCCGAATCTAGAGAGGATTCGGGACAAAAGTCTTGGACCACATCTGAGTAGAATTTCTTGACGGTGGCTCCAACCGTCTGAACTTGGTTCTCAACATACTTTACTGTATCCTGAGACATGAGAAGAAGAAGAAGAAGAAGAAAACAAAGAAAATCAAGAGATAATAAACTACGGCATTTGTTGACGACTATATGTGCCGACCAACAGTAATATTACCTGGACAATAATTTCTTCAACCTCCAAGCACATGGCTTCAAACTTCTGGTACACATTCCCAACCCAGGTTATTCCTCTGATATCCATATTTTATAATGACACAAAGAAGCTTGAAAACAATGTAGCTGCTCTTGTTCCCAACATGAAGAGACAGGATGATACTCTGCAAGAATTGAGAAAATAATTCCTTTTTTTTTTAACATTCCAACCAACTGAAATGAAAAACAAAACATCAAGCTTGCACCTTGAAAGAAAGGAGGAGTGTTTTCTATGTTGGAGACATAGGAATATGACATAGATGCATCAGTTGTGCAGAAACTGTATCGAGGTGTATATATACATACACACACAAATGTATCATCAGGATTGTGAATCAGCCAGAGAAAGACATGCCAGATAATCGAATAATGAGGCTTTTAAGTAAAAGCCTCAGAAGCTGGCTTGCACAGGTGATTCCATATCAGCTTACACATACAGATACAAGAAAAGTAGTCAAGCGATAAGCATCTTCTCTCCTAACAAAGGCATGATCACAAGTTCCTGAAGACATAGACATCCTTGTCCCTCTAGGACCATGTAGCTGCAACAGCAAGTTATTTCTGTGTAACACATGTTTCCAGGATCTTTTAACTGAAAAAAACAGATTCAAAACGGTCAACCAAAAGTTCACAATGGAATGATCAATGATCAAGAAATCCTACATAGCCAAAAGCACCCGGAGAACAATTCTTCTTCAGGGCAACTCTCATAAAAGACAAGGAAAATTCTGACACGGACGACATTCAGAAAAGCGAAACAAAGGACGATAACCCTTCAAACGAACGGGCAAATTCTCTTCGAAATCATCTGATTCTTACACACCTAAAGTAAGAAGATGATTTCTAACGGGCCCGGAGTAATAATGTGCAACAATCAACCAAATTAACATCAAAGGGAACCACTTTGAGGATTTTGAAATCGAGACTCGAGTCAAACTGGATTTCAGAAGGGGAAAACACGCGATGAAGAAAACCCTAAAAACCCCCTTCTGCAATCAAAACTCAAAAGTAGTATATTTTTAGAAAGGACAGAACAAAAAGGAAAGAGACGCATGACCATTAACCTTAAGCAGCGTCCAAGGATCGACCAAAACCAAAGCTGTGTCTTTTATTGTACTCTCGATTACGATCTTAGGGTTGTCGTGGAAGACTCGGAGCTGTAAGAAGATAGCGTGCTGAAGCTATAACAAGAAACCCAAAAAACTGAAAGCAGCTCTCTTTTTAAATTTAATTACCCTAAAAAAAACCCCTCTTAATTTTTTTTTACCAAAAGAAACAAATCGGATCCGGGTATTACCCACCCGACTAAATTATGAAGCCCATTCGAGCGTTGACTCTTATATTTACCTGTTAAATATTTGACGACGCATCTTCTGAATAAAACAGCCGATTACTAACAAAACTTTGATAGTTTCGAAAAATTAATATATAAAATTTATTTTAACTACAATATAACCTAATTAAAAGCCATCGTAAAATCCTAAAAAAACAACGATAAAAACTAAATGCATTCTTTTCTAGTGTAATATCAAATACAAATTTATACATCAATATTTTATCAAAAAAAAACAACAAACATCAATACAACTTTGGATAAAAAAAGAGTTACGTCAGAATTGTCAACGTGTCAGTCAAATAGCATGGCACGTCATATCCGACCCGACCCGACCCGACCCGAAATTCACAAAGCCCGCCCAAGTTGTTTCTGTCAACCATCATCGACGATCTAAAGTTTCCGTTTTTTTTTTCTTTTAAAAAAAGATCATTTTTTATTTGTTGAAAAATGAGTATCAAACTAACGACAATATGAGAAAGCTGGGAACTTTCCCTTTGAAACGAACAGCGAGACATGACACATAATTAGGCAGAATCATGGAACACATGATCGATGTTTCAAGTTTAAGACAGTGCCCACCTCAAGGAATCATCCTCAAAAAACAACCATCCAACCTTATTAGACGAGAAATCCCAACGGCTTTATTCTCCAACTTTCGTTCTGGGTTCATCATCTTTCTCAGCTCTGTCGGAGCTTTCGACATGAGAACCCGAACTCGACTCTCTTGTCTCGTCTGTTTTCTTCAGAAGTTCCTCCATTGGTTTCGGAACGATCTCAGCTTTGTTACCAGATGATTGCTCTTCTTCAGATTTCTGATGAACAGCTTTGGAAGATGCTGTAAGAGTTGACAGAACGCGTTGGAGCTCGTCATTCAGATGCAGGGCCTCAAAAAGCAGTCCTTCATCATCTGTTGTGCTTTCTATGATCATCTGAATCGCCGGCTGTGATTGCTTGCACTTTTCTATCAGGCTTTCCGTTAGTTCATCCTGTAATTCCACAATCATTAATCACATACCGAATCATTGTAAATCTCGAGACTGATCGCTCAAAAGGGAAACAAAAGATGATTGACCTTTCCGTTATTCGGCTCCCCTTCGGTATTCAACATGCTAGAGAGCAATTCGAGGCTGTTCCTTGTTATCTCAATCTGTTCTTTCTTATCCTTGATGGTTAGATTCCCGAAGTTATAGTCAAGAACCTCATTCCCATCATCGTCATCATCATAATCTCGATGAGCCTGTTCTTGGTTGTGGATAGGGTAACTACCGGGTGGAGGGACCGGGACAGGCCGTTGCATAAGAGACTCCAGTGAATTTTGGCCCTGGAGTGAGCTTTCCTCGACCCGAGGGTTCAAAACGTTCTCATCTCTCAAACTCTTAAGAAACAACAAGCGGAACCCAATAAACATACATTTCAGAAGCATTAGAAAATCAAGAGTGATAATAACTCAGAGAAACAGAAAAATAGCAACTCACCATATAAGTTTGGCGGAACACGGGAAGATAGGCAAGGTCCTCGGACTGTCCCCAGACCCTAATCAACTGAAAAGCCCGGTTTCTATTATCGGAATCTGCCTCCACATTCTTAACCAGCTTAACCATCTCGTCCAAAACCCTCTCAGATGCGATTTCCGAGAAAACCTTCTCGCAGTTCATAGCGCATGCCTCAAGCAGCTCGAGGCTCAGCCTCTGGCTGACCACGCTCTTACCTGAAAGCTTCTTCTTGATGGCTTTAACAATCTCAGTGCCATTAAACTCCTCGCTGTTGATCATGGAGCATATCCTCATGTTCATTCCCCAGTTTGGCTCGTCCATTGTCTCTAGTGTGGCCTCGTCCACCATCTTCGACTCGAGGGTCGGGGCTTGCAGCATTTCCTTCACTTTCCCACTCACCATTCTACTCATCTGAGCCCCACCTGTCTTCAGCTTCTCTCCCCATTCAGCAATCTTCGACTTGTCCATGTTCTGTAATGTATCTAATAACCCAGTACTTGTGCTTGTAATCGAAATCTATCTGCAAGCATACATATAAGAAATCAAATCAACGCTATCTCGGATCTTCCGAAAGTATCACCATTTCTCGATAAGGATCTGAAATTTCCAGACTTTTCAACGCATAAGAAGAAATCAAATCACTGGCTCCTACGAATTCATAGATTCTCGAGGACCCTCGATCAAGACGACTACGGAATCACTCATGAAACTACGAAGTGATTACGCACAGATTGTCAAAACCCATCCACAGATTAATCCGCTGAAGGAGCCAAATCGGATCAAACCAATAGCGATAATTTTACCGATTTGGAACTCATGGATCGGAGGAGACAATGGTAAAAAGTGAAAACAGAAAAGAGAAAGAACCTGAGATGAATCTCTCTACTGATGCAATAATCAGATAATCAACTCCTCCAGATTTTCTCTTTACTTCTTTCCTTTGAAAATATTGTTCCTCTTTCGGGAATAAACCCTAAATGTCGGAACGAGCTGATGAATTTTTGAACGAGGTAGAGGGGAGCAAGAGATTGCGAACACGTGGCATGTTGAGGGAGCCTCTCCCTCGGAAACGTCCATAAATTTAGTCCTCGGGGGTTTAAAAAAGTATCGTTTAATTAAGGGGTCAATTTCCAAACATTGAAAAGATGTGGGCAACTTTTAAGTATCCCCTTCATGAACTATTTTACGAGAAAAAGGACAATGTGTGAATAATAATATCTTAAGGGTTTTATTGAATCCCTACACCCACCACGGCGGCACCACGGCGGCGAAGAGGCGGAGACGACCGACGCAGTGCTTACTGAATCGCTACGAAGATTCCGATTCCATAATCGAAGGTTATAGAAACCCAGATTCTTTTCGATTTCGACCATGGCTTCGATCCCGACTTGGGTGCGATACTTGGCTCACAAGCTCGAGTACTCCATCACCCTCAGCGCCAAGGTTTATCTCTCTCTCTCTCTTTCTCGGTTCAGTTTGTTGTTTCCTCTCTCAGCCTTTTCTTATTTCTCTTCATCGTCTCTCATTGTCGTTTTAGTTAGTTTGGTTTGGGGATTGATCGAAATGTCTAGGGTTTTGTGGCTTTTCCCTTCAATCTCGGTTTGATCAGGGGAGAAGCTGAGAAGTTGTAACGTATAGAAGCTATATTGCTTGAGACATTTGCTTTCTGGAGACTCTGCAGTCGAATAAATTGAATCGATGTGCTCTTAGTTGGATACAGAACTATTTGACATTTGCTTCTTGGAAACTCTGCAGTCGAATAAATTGAATCCTTAGAACTGTTTGTTTATGAGTGGGAATCAAAGTTAACGTCTTTTAGCAGATGCCATTTCTTTTCCAACTCTTGCATTCGCCATAGCAGATTGAAGCCTATAACCTGAAAGATAGCTCATGATCTGTCTGCTTTAGGGTACTTTTGCTGCAGCAGATACTTTTCTGTGGTTTCCCTTTTCAGCTACTCGGTTATTGTGGGAAATGCGCTTTGGATTCTTTTTTGTTTATCATTCGTGGTTTCCTTGATGGCAGAGTTATAGGAAAGAGAAAATCAGTGACCGAGAATTCCTCGGTATAGTTTGCAAGAATCTGTTCCATGGAAAGTTAACCTACTTACACTGGGATAAGGGACTAGAGATGGCGCCAACCTTGGCAACACATGGAAATACGCTGCTTGTACGGAAGTTACCAATTCTTGATGCAAATCATGCGAGGTATGTTTTGCCATTAGATATTTGTTCTTTTGTTTGAGTTCCAACCTTGAAATTACCTGGTTGCAACTCCAGTGCTCAATCTGTCCAGTCTAACAATCTTAGGGTTGTTCAACATGTAGTATGTGGAAAGCTGACTAGTGAAAGCATATTTCTTGTTTTGGATTGAATTGAATTGCCTGGTTGATGCAGACCGACAATTATATTACCTACTATGAGTTCATGGAAAATATGACTACTGCAAGTGAATGATACTCGTGCCTTTATACGGTAAAATTTTGCACCTTTACTGAATTTAAGGTCAAGGTACTTGTTTTAAACCTCGAAACTCCTCAAACCCTCTCCCTTCAGTGTTAAGGGAATATCAGTGTTTTATTTCAGTACCTGATTAGTTAGTGGGTTCCACCCTTATCCACGCTCTTGAATAGGTATGTTTTCGTTGGAGATGCCGTTGTCTTGAAGGACCCGAACGAGTCAGGTAGGTATCTGGTGAGGAGATTAGCAGCCGTACCAGGATGTGAACTGGTGTCCAATGATGAGAAAGACGAGCCTTTTGTTCTCGAAAAAGATCAGTGCTGGGTGGTAGCTGAAAACCAGGAGTTGAAACCTAAGGTACATATGGCTATCTTCTTTCCTTGTTCATCCAGGGGTTGAAACCTAAGCAAAGCACCAGCATAAACCATTTAAAAAAACACTCTTGCCTTGTTCAACTCATCTGTTCTGTTGTCTTTTTTATCTATCTGTCTTAACAGGAAGCCTATGATAGTCGTACTTTTGGTCCGATTTCCATGGCAGACATAGTCGGCAGAGCGATATATTGCCTGCGTACGGCTGTGGATCATGGTCCTGTGAGTAACAGGTGAGAGGTCTTGCTTTCATAACAAAAAAGATCATCTTTCTTCCTGAAGATTAAAAAAAAATGGTTGTAACAAAGATTCTGGGGTTTGCTTTATCAGTTCCGACGCCATGCACGAAGATTCTCCGGTGCTGGCAGTAGAACTTGATGTGGCCGAGATGGCGAAAAACCATCAGGTTTAAGACAGCTCCTGTCGAAGGAGGATCTTGCGTCAGGACGGTTTGTTCTTCTTCCACCTTATGTTCTAAGCTTCAATCATCAGGAAACAGATAATGTCATAATTTATGATAAAGTTCCGAGCTGAATTTAAGAACTCTTTGGAAGCAGTTTGTAGCTTGAGATACTTTGGAGTTGAAGGCAAATGTTGTCTTGTTGATTTTCTGAAATAATGTTTTTATTTTTTTATTATCAATACTATGGGGTTAATTGTCCAATATAAATTATTTAATTTTATCATAAATTATTTTTTTTATGTTTGGGTTTCATTTTTAATATGTAAGATTTAGCTTTTATAAATACTATTTAAAAATTCAAGTTATCATAAATAATAAATATGAAATAAATTTTCAATCTAACAGCTAAATTATGAAAAATCATAGTTACAAAAATCAAAAGCCCATACAAAGGTCCAAAATAATATTTTAATGATGGAAAAGCCCATGAGCCCAAGATAGTGAGCGTTTGTTTCAGCCAGATGCTGCACAGTAATTCTCCCCGGCCATCAGAAAGAGCCAGGAGGAGAAAAATGGTGGAAGAAGCTTAATCCGTTCCTTCCTTGTCTCTGGAGTTGTCCATGGCGATGTCAGGAGCCTTGCATTTTAGCTGCGACTACGTTCCAGGTTCAAAATTTTTTACCTTTGCTGGGTTTGATTCCTCACTTGTCTTCCTTTTTGCGTGTCGAGAAAGTTTCCTTCTTCCGTGGACGAATACTGACCACGAGTTTGTTCGTTCAAGCAATTTATATTTGCTTGTATTAAGTTTGTTTGAATGTAGCTTAAGTTCGCTGTCATAAATTCGTATTTCCTTGTCGATGCTTCGGTTACTCTTGATTCGGCCACCACCTGTTCGATGAAATGACTCAGAGGGTGTGGTTGATGATGGTTTATGCCTTTACGCCTATGGAAATATTTCAGATATTAAATCTTGAAACTTTTTTCGTTTTAAGGCGAAGATTGATACGAACAAATGTTATGAAGATGCACTAGAAGCTCGAGTACCCATTCTGCATAAAGTAATTGGTAAACTATTTCTGTGAAATAGGATTGCTTGGTTTCATCATTAATCCACTTACCATTCCATTGCATGGTTCTTAGAAACAATAGTTGTTAATAATAGAATGGTCCCTGATGTCAAGACCATTGTTTACATAGGTTTGTTATGCTGGATGATGCTATACTCCTGGGTTGTTATAGTGTCTCTCCTTATGGCTTAAGTAGAAAATGCACGTCCTGTAAACCATAAGATTTTAACTTCAATTTGGATATGAGTTATACTTATACCAGATTTATTTGTTAGATTTTGGTTCCATTCTTTGGCCCGTTGTTATTTGCATTATCTCATATAGAATGAATGATCCGTTTGCTTTTGTTTCTTGTTTAGGTCTTTGTATATAATCTGCTTTCCTCTACAACCCCCTAAAATGTCTATTGCTTGGTTACGCAGGCTATGGACTTTCACACAGATGTGTCTATAACTCCAGAGTGTCAAGAAGGACACTTGCTGTGTTATATTGCTCCTCCTACCCGGATCATAAGTTACCTTCAAATAATGGGCGCCTGAAATGTATTGCTGTCAAAAGGCCTTTTGTTTGCCGGGCAAGTTCTGGTGGCCATAGGAGAAATCCTGATTTCTCAAGACAAAACAGGCATGGTTTCCAAGGTACAAACAGGCAAAACGAAGAGGGAGATGGTTTCGAAGATTCTGAGTTGTTAACCTCGAAAAACGGCCCTATGGTCTCTCTCTCTAATTCCCCCAAATTCCAAACTACTTCATCCCCTGGGCCAAGAGAGAGAGAGATAATCGATCTTTTCAGGAAGGTCCAAGCTCAACTCCGGGCACGAGCTGCTGCAAAGAAAGAAGGAAAGAAAACCGAAGAAGCTTCTAGAGGATATGGAAAAGAGAGTGAGACAGTTGATTCCCTTCTCAAGTTACTGAGGAAACACTCAGGCGAGCAAAGCAAGAAAAACGTTGGCAGTTCCAATGGCCAGGAAATCAATTCAGGCCAGTCGGGCCGAGATGTTGCCTTCAACCAAGATCAAAGCTCAGATCACGCCAATTCGCGAAACAAAAGTCATAAAGCAACATCCTTTACCCGACCTGCTTCAAGCTTCAGACGCAAGTCACCTGTACCAAGACACAAATCCCAGCCCACTTACACTGGTGATGGTACTTTTGATCACTCAACAAGTTATAGTGAGACTTGGACCACCCAGAAGAAGGATCGGGTGCAGATGCAAGCTGAACTTGAAGATGACCATGAACCTGAATACAAAGAGCCTGAACCTGGAACCGAGCCTGCCAGGCTTGAACCGCGGTCCGAGCTGAAGCCCGAGTCTTTCTATGAAGACGAGGATGATGTAGGTCATGATATTGCTGCCTTAGAAGAGATACCAGATGACGAGTCGTTGGATGCTGATGAAGCCGAAGAAGATGAAGAGGAACCGGATCAAGAAACAAGGACAGACGAAGATTTAAGTGCGTTGAAGCTGGCGGAACTGAGAGCATTGGCAAAATCACGGGGCGTAAAAGGGTTTTCGAAGATGAAGAAAGCTGAGTTGGTAGAGCTACTAGCAAAGTAGTAGTGATTCACATTGATCGTCAGTGCAGGAAACTGGACGTGAATTTGTTTTAGGCATAAAAGTTTCGAATCGTATCTTTTTCGAGAGTAAATCTTTTGTAGGTTTGCACCGTAATTTTACAGAAACCCTACTTTAATTTAGAATTAAAAGGACAATTAGTAAATCCGTTGTCGTCCAGCGGTTAGGATATCTGGCTTTCACCCAGGAGACCCGGGTTCGATTCCCGGCAACGGAATTTTTAATTTCTTAATCAATTTTTTTTTGTTTTAAATATCTGTAGTTTAAGTATGCTTTCATTAAAATTGATTTATCCTAACCCGACCAAAAATTTGCTAGGTCTAAACCTCTTACATCGTGAATAAAAATTAATTTGATAAATATATAATAAACATATATCATGGTATATGTTCACAATCCGGATTTAGCTTGTGCTTCGTTTCAAATGTAGCCCAACCTCAAAATCAATTCAATCTGATAACAGAAACAACATTGGTCCGTAAAACTTCTCTCTAGAATTAAATGAGCAAATTTATTCCAAGAAATACCAATAAAGAAATCGGACTATATTTATTTCGTAGGGCCCGACCCCCGTACGTGCATTTCGTAGATTTGTATAATGGTTTTATTTTTTTTTTATAATGTTCGTAAATTAGGAAAAATAATTCAGGTGTCATTGTATGGAATATGAATGTATAGTGAATCTAACTGGAGTTGTTGTCGTACTCATTTAGTATGTGACATTGACTGATGCCCGGTCCCACCTCCTCCTCATATATATATATATATATATATATATATATATTATATGGCTGTTGCTACTTTTAGTGTAACGAAGAATATATGATTTTATCTCTATTTGTCTTAGAAAATTACCGATCAATAGATACATGTGACGTAGATCTATATATATATATATATATATAAGATGCAATGAATAATATGGGAAAATACACAGAGAAAATATAAATTAATGGGGCTTTGAGTAAATGATTTAAAATGGAAAGAAAACAGGATTTGTGTGGTGGACTGACAGAACCCTAATTAAATTCACCACCTGATGGTCCGACAAACGTCGCTCGCAAATTTCTTGTATTCATAATTTTTTTTTAAAGAAATTAGATTGTAGAAATATATATTAATTACGTGGTTTCATTTAATACATTCAAAAATAATATAATATAAATAAAAAATTATATTTGCATATTTTTCAAACTTTTTGTGCTTGGACCTCCTTCGTCCACACCTAAATGCCTAACCCTTTTTTCCTTCTTTTTCTCGTGACAAAAAATTTTATTACACAGAAATAAAAAAAAAAACACGAAACCCTACGACTCTTCTTAATAATTAAAGCCCAAACGTAACCTTTCATCCTGAAAATTATAAGGCCACATAATTCCTTCTCTTTGTTAGGTTATACAAAATTTAATAAATAAATACATACAAAAGCATATTATATAGTATTATAACAAATGCTTTCTAACAAAAAAAAAACTCAATTGGATTTGGGTTATAATATTATAAAAGCATATATGATAGAATTAAATGCCCTGGATCCGAAAAAGTATGAATGTAAAAAACACAGTATATATGTATATATGTGGATTTATTATATCTTGTTAACAAGTTGACTCAGAAAAAAAAATATTGGACTTTGATGGTGTGTGTATAAGTGTGTGTGTATATATATGTATGTATAAGATGTGAAAAACAATTTTTTTTATTTTCTACGTATATTTAAAAAAAGAAATCTAATACCAAATGACACAAAAACATTTCAAAAAAGGTTTTTTTTATTTAAAAAAAGGTTTGTTTTGAAATAGAAATATTAATTTTGCAATAGTGTCAAAGATTTAATACACGTGATATCTGTTCAGTTTTAAAGAACCCTCATTTCTCTCTTTCCATATACCTAAGTTCCTCCATATCCACCAAGAACATCAAAGATCGAAGATCAAGAACCAAGAATCAAGATCAAGGACAAGAACAATTGATCATCAAGAAATGGACACGATTCCCCAATTGATGGACAATTCTCCTTCCTTCTCATCATCGGCCACAAACCTCAGCAGCATCTCACCCACCGCCTCCTCCTCCGCCGCGGCAGCACCGCCGCCGGTCTCCTCAACAGCCGCGGCGGTGGCGAACTCGAGCCGGTACGAGAACCAGAAGAGGAGGGATTGGAACACGTTCGGACAGTACCTGAGGAACCACCGACCGCCGTTGTCCCTGTCCCGATGCAGCGGAGCTCACGTGCTCGAGTTCCTTCGTTACTTGGACCAGTTTGGCAAGACCAAAGTGCACACGCCGATGTGCCATTTCTACGGCCACCCGAACCCGCCCGGACCGTGCCCGTGCCCTCTCCGGCAAGCGTGGGGAAGCCTCGACGCCCTCATCGGCCGCCTCCGTGCCGCCTTCGAGGAGAACGGAGGCAAGCCTGAGGCCAACCCGTTCGGAGCTCGAGCCGTGAGGCTCTATCTCCGTGAGGTTAGGGATTCGCAGAGCAAAGCGAGAGGTGTGAGTTACGAGAAGAAGAAGCGGAAACGTCCTCCTCCTCCTCGTCCTCCGCCGTCTTCCGCCGCCACAGTCTCCGGAGTTGGTCATATTCAGTTTCAACAGCAGCAGCCGCCTCCGGGTACTACTAGTTCTACCGGTGGTTAAATAATTTGAGGACCCAGATGAGGAAAATGAAGTATTTCATCTATGTGATATGTGAATTCGATGAAAGTTTCCTGCTTTGTGTCGTGTTGATAGATCTCCATTAGGTTATATATATGCTTAGTTTTTTTTTTAGTTCAGCAATCTGGCTGAACTGTGTATGCGGCTTTGTAGCGAGCTAGGGTTTTATTTTTTAACCCCATAAAATACTATTTCTCAATTCTCGTATATACACATCGATCCATATATTATATTAATCTCCTTCTAAGAAGTTTTTGGTGTTTGATGAGATGGAGCTATACAGTTGTTGCGTGATTTCTCCTTTTGATGCAAACAGTGGTCGCTGTCAAAAAGTGGCAGTGAACTAGCAGTGGTCTTGTAGTGGTGACAGTGACCGCTGTACGTACTAAAATCATCAAAATTATTTGGAAATGAAACTGCATATATATATATATATGTATGTTTTTGTATCTCTGTATATGCATCTCCCATGGGTGTAATTCTTGTTTCTTAATGTTTGACAAATCTATTACAGGTCTTTGTTTCTTCATATGTATACGGAAGTCTGGCGTGTTAAGTGTTTTCTTACACCTCCAATACACTTTTTACTCGCAGTTCCACTACTCAGAAATGGTGAGGACTTAGTATAGTGGGCGTGCACGCACGTATATTTTACGTATTTATTTGTATTTGTGTGTATTGCTAAAGTAGAGCCACTTTGTGATAATAGAAAAATGTTTTTTCTTTTATTAATGATTGAAAGATTATAATCTACTATATAGCAAAATACAATAGAATATTTTAGGTATAATATTTAGGGTAAATCATAACCATATTAATGATAATGTTCTATGAATAATATCTTTTTATATGTCCCTTAAGATGAATCATTTATGATGAATTCAATCTTGTTATATAAAAACTGAAAATTGAAATTGTGATCGTATTAAACGAAACATCTTTCACGTGATGTTATGGCTCGGACTTGAGTCGGTATTGCACGCTTGATAATATTTGAAGAGTTTATAGTTGTAGTCTCAGAGGCTGATGTGACACAAAAGTGTGACACGTATATGTGAGTTGGATTGCAAGACAATGAGGTCGGCAATGCAAAAAATTACGGTGCATATAGCGGCTAGGTCGAAGAAAAGAAAAGAAAAAAAAGACGCATAATGCGTGATAGTTTAGCAGTGGGACAGAGAAAAAAATGACGTAAATACGTGGATCGACAATCGAAGTTCTTCGATACAAAGGGTTAAAAGTCAGATTTAAAGATCTCACAACGACTAGAGTTGACGTTGATAAACGAACGTCGTCGGGAAAAAAAAAAGTAGCACATTGGCTAGAGTTGACGGTGATTATAACCGCCGTCGGGAAAAAAAAAGACTAGAGAAAAAAAAAATGGAATACAAGACGATGCTAAGGCGCTGATATTATTGGTTTTAGTATATCATCATAATCTTTGTCGTCTCTTTCGGATTGAACCAATATTATTGATGAAAAAAATCAAAACTCTAATACCATATAAAAAAAATATTTTTCTATTATTGATGATTGATAGATTACACGCTAATATATAGCAAAATACAATAGAATATTTTAGTTGTAATATCTGTGGTACATCATATTAATGATAATATTATATAAATAATATCTTCCTGTATGTTCATGCGTCGTGAGTTTGTTTGACATGTATCTTACAGCAAATCTTTCACGGGTTTTGGAGAAAACGTGAAGGAACTTGAGATACACACATATGCATACATATACGCGTGTGTATATATATATATGAAGTTGAGATGATGGTATGTCAGATATAAAGTGTGTTGGTTTGGTAATAGAGAGTTACTTCCGAAGCAAAGGTAATGCAAGAGAGATCAACATGATCCACTTAATTAGTACATTAATTAATTTAGTACACTTTCTCTAAGAAGAATAAGCATATGTACCCTTTTCCCAATCTCCCCATACGTTTGATGGATTAATAGATACTGAATGCTGCCATATACATACATATATATGTGTGTTTTTTTTATGATTTCATTCATTGTCATATTTGTTAGATGTAATAAGTACTATGATGATAGCCTTGATATGGTAAAGCATATTTTTTATGATATAAGAGAACAATTTTTTTTTTGTTAATAGAGGACCCTAGCTGCTACCGTTCGGGCGCGCTGATTAGGTAAACCTCCGGCCCGGGAGCAGTCTTTGTATATGGATCATATAAATCTAGAAATTATCTCTCTCCCCACCAGCAAGGAATCGAACACTCAACCTCAAGGTGGAGTTACCTCCTACCCCAAACTTGACCACTCGCCCACGATCTGTTGGGTTATAAGAGAGAAGAGAAGAAAGAACAATTTTACATTGTACAAATTAATTAATTAGCACATTTCAACATGAAAAAATGCATAAAGATCTAATCAATTGTCATGATCCTCCTGCATATACAGATCCCCTTTTTTCCTAATAAAATATGATTTGTGATCTTAAAAAAGAAAAGTTTTTTTCCATTTATAAAAGATTATGTTCCTATTCTTAATATATAGTATATGACTTGCCAATAAATAAATTCATGTTCATTTTTTTTAATATGCTTGATCCTGCATGATTCTGTGTAAATAATACTAATATATATATATATATATATAAGAAAATCTCATGACCTTGGTGTCGTGTGGTTGTATTGTCTTTCCTGCCACGTCTCTCACTTGTCTTGTCCGTTTCAGATGTTCCTTGCAGAGTAGAAAATTGTGAATTATAAGCATCTGTGCATTCTTGTCCATTTTCTGATACTCCACATTTTATTTTTATTTAAATCTGTAATCTGTATGCGTGTATTGAAAGAAATGGCTTACAATGAAATTGGGGTTTACTTGCCCACTTGCAATAAACTATATCTAAATGAAATTTCATATGTACACTAAGCCTGGAACGTGTGTGTAATGAACCCAGAACCCAAAACCCTAGAACATATATTATTATTATAAATTATATCTAAATGGAATTTGAAATTGAAATGAAATCTATTAGATTTAAAAAAAAATCAAATCCAAAACCAACTCCAATATTTAAAAAAAAAAAAAAATCAGAAACCAAAATGTAAACCACAGGCATGTAAGCATAGAGAGAGAGGTGGATTGTACAGAAGTTGGCCTTTCGTCTAAGGATCGGATTGATGGCTTTTCCAAATATGGATTAGGGCAAAAAACCGAGGGGACCCATCTCTCATATCATCAAGTTTCATTTTCATAATCATAGTTATTCCCATTTCGGATTTGATACGAATATTTTTTATTATTATTTGAAGTGACAGTCCACATCCTTCTTTACCTTTTTTATCATTAGTCTCCACTCACTCCTGCTCATCTTGTCGTGAAAATTCCGATGCCCTCCGGCGGTTCCCGACTCGTAACTGAAGTTCGGATCCGAAGCGAAACGAGCGTCGAGAAGCGGGAAGAGAAGAGGGTCGAGTAGCAGAAAAAGGGTCTGTGTTATAATCTCAGGAGATTAAGAAGGGAAGCCATTGTTGCAACGGTAGGGGAAGAATCGTGCCTCCTTCTTGTTGGGCCGAGATCGGCCCATTAATGTCCCAATTAGGCCGAAATTAGGCCTCATAAATTGTTTGAATCCTGTGTAATTAACGGATTAGGCCCAAATATTGTTCTCCCCCAAGTCCTTCGGCCACCCCGAGGCATCAGATTATTATTATTATCTTTCAAATAATTAACGGATATAATAATATTATTATTTTTATCTAAAGATACTTTGTTTTCTAATATAGTATATGCAAATATAGTTGCAATATATTTAGCTGTAAAACTGCAATATTTTATTATAAAAGCATCCTCCATGGATTTCTTTCTTTTCTTTTTTTAATTACGGAAGAGACCACACGATTTAAACATTTGGTTCGTTTCGATACGTTGATGTTTTTTATGAATTTGTCTGATTTCATATATTTACCACCACCTTTAGATCCACGTTTTGCACGAGAGAGAGAGAGAGAGGAGAAAAGACATTTATTTATTGGACCCCGAAGAGGGTAAAAAGGTTAAAACCCTTATTAAAGGACAGAGATATCGAAACTCGGGGATGTGAGAAGACCGACCCAAAATTCCGCGTCATCACTATACAGCTTGGAATAATTACTCTTGTTAATCCCATCATGAACCTCTACTTCTAACGGAGGCTCCCAAAACTCTGTCTTTTTCTCCAAAGCATTGTCATCCATAGTGGCGGTCGGAACAGCATCTAACCAGAAATTTTCGTCTATCATCATCGGAAAGTCTCCAAATAATGCGAAGTCTTCGTCATTATTCGAATAATCGACCGTCGAGGCCGTGTCGGCGTTACTGCTAGATTGTTGCGGTGAAACGTGCTCCCTGTCGGGTTCTTTCTTCTTCTTATTATTATTATTATTATTATTATTATTATTATTATGATGGTTGATTCTTTTCTTCAAATGGGTGTGCCAAACATTTTTTATTTCATTGTCTGTTCTCCCCGGCAACTTGGCAGCAATCGCAGACCACCTGATCGATTCAATTTTGCACCAAAAAAAAAGAATATTTAATTTTAAATAGATAAAACCATATAAAAAAAGTGTATTCACATGTTTTGCAGATCAATGCGTATATGCATGGTATAGTAGAGAATGTTGATGATGGTGATGATGTTGATGATGATGATGATATTTAATATTTTTTTTGTGGGGGG